ATCTCTTGACCTCGTGATCCACCCGCCTCGGCCTCCCAAAGTGCTGGGATTACAAGCTTGAGCCACCATGCCCGGCTAATTTTTGTATTTTTAGTAGAGACGGGGTTTCACCATATTGGCTAGGCTGTTCTTGAACTCCTGACCTTGTGATCCACCCACCTTGGCCTCCCAAAGTGCTGGGATTACAGGCGTGAGCCACTGCACCCAGCAAAAATAATAACTTTTAAAAGAGCAGGGCAAAATGGTAGGTTTTCCAGCCTTAACCATTCCCCGTGATTGCTGGCAGTACCAGTGATTGCCTGGGTGGACATGGACCAAGAGCACCAGCTCACAGACTTCACAACAGAGTCCACCCCAGAGAACACACAGGCTATTAGTCATGATAGCGAACGGCCAGAAGAAGCAGGTACACCTCGTTCCCAGGGCAAGAATAGCTGTTCTCAACATCTGTCCCAAGCTCCAGGGACCTTCCAAGGGGCCAACAGGTCGGCCTCAAGCGCTCTATTTGAGACAGTACCACATCTAATGCATGGGTTAATCATTTGTGATAAAATAAAAATTTTACCTTCTTTTTAGCTATCAGAACTGTTAAAGCATGTCTCACCTTCCACTGCAGATTAAAATTGACTTAATATTTTACACATAAAAATCAAAACTTTGATCTAAGCTTGCCCTAAAGGACATTCCTAGTTCTGCCAGTAGGAAACTTTCCCTGACCTGTGGTCTGAGCCGCCAGAGGCCATTGACCTCACAGCCCCAGGGCCCCTTGGAGGGTGGGAGGGGCCTGACTCTTCATTTTGCTTCTCTGTGCTCATAGGACTTTCTGTTGATAGGTAACAGTCGTTCTCAATCTTGGGACACTGGATTGAACACCATACTGAATAGCATGTATGAAACAGATGTTTGTTTCCCCTTTCTCTGCTGTTTTGTTTGCCATGAAAACCAATGGACCAAGGGGTCTCAAAAGAGTCTGTCCCAATCTGTGTTGTCTAAGAAAGACAGCCCAAGGAATTTACTAATAAAATTCACAAGGGTAGGGGACTGACAACAGCCAAGAATGTGGATAAAAGAACAGGAATATGAAATTCCTTCTCTCTTCCCATCCCTCTGTTTGCACTCCCTCTCCCCACCACCCTCCCTTATCCCCGCCTTCTATTCCATGAAGACTAAACAGACAGAGGTCAAATTTGGGTGGATCATTTTTTCAAAGTTTGGCAACCCTACTTCATGTAAACCATCAATTAGAAACATGAGATCCCACTTGAATCTCTACAATGGTAGTCCTTCTGTGAATTTATTTATATTATTAAGCTGAGGACACAGGATCGTAGCCATGTTCAATGAAAGCTGTGCATGATAATCGATGGGCATTGCCTCCATTTAAAGGATTGCAAACACCAACTTGGCCAGACAGAGATTACAGCCTAGATAACAAAAATGAAGATAATGACCTTAACGGCTGATATTTCTTCTCTTTCTTTCTTCCCTTAAACTCTGACCAAGAAATCACCATACGACTGCAGCAATTTCGACAAAGAATTCTTGAACGAGAAGCCCCGGCTGTCATTCGCCGACAGAGCACTGATCAACAGCATGGACCAGAACATGTTCAGGAACTTTTCCTTTGTTAACCCTGGGATGGAGCGGCTGATATCCTGAATCTTGCCCCTCCAGAGACATGAAGGAATTTGCCTTCTCCCTGGGAGCTGGTTCAAGCGACACTGCCTGGGTTCCTTTTTCAACTTGGAAAAGAAAAGAAACACTCGACAACAAAGGCTGAGGCCCGTTCTACCCCCACGTGACTTTTATCTGTAGCAGAAACCAAGTCTATTTCACTAATGACGATGGGTCTTGACTCCTGACGCGTCTCACAGACACTCCTGAAGTTAGGTCATTACTAACCATAGTTATTTACTTGAAAGATGGGACTCTGCCCTGAGAAAGGTTTCAAAGCTTGATACTGCAATAAATGATGGCTCTTCACTCACTGCTGATCAGGGAAATGCTCTTTGAATCGGGGCAAATGGAGTACAGACATCTCAAGACCGAAATGGCCCCATTGCCCGGTCTAGTAGAGGATCTCACTCAGCCGCAAACAAGCAACTACTAACCCGTTTTATCCTGTTCCTATCTGTGGATGTATAAATGGCTGGGGGGACAGCCCTGCATAGGCTTTTATGGGAATTCTTTACAATAAACAAGCTTGTAACTTGAGATCTACAAATTCATTCATTCTGATTCGCCATGAAGTCCATGGGCAAGAGGACAGGTGGAAAGTGAGAGGGAAGTTTTGCTAGAACACCTACGCTGGCTATCTTGTCAAGACAGAATTGATATTTAGAGCTCCACCAGTTAATATCGTTTCGCCCTTGCCAATAAAACCTTTCCATCCATCCACTCTCATCAGATCCCAGGATCAGTGCAGTCATTCATGCTATCCTCACATGATACCCAGAAAAGAACTGAAGTGGGTAATTCTCCTGAGAAAAGAACCTCAACCCCTGCTCCTGCCATCACTGGTGATTTCATGACTCATAAGCCCCTCTGGGAGCATCAGTCAGGATCAATGACCCATTGCATGCTGTTTGCAGCAGTCAATTGAGTTTAATTAGAATTCCAACCATACACTTTAAAAGTATTTGTGCCGTGTGTATATTTTGATAAAATGTTGTGACTTCATGACAAAGAGGTGGATGTGTAAAAAATGGAATTAAAAAAAAAACAATCAAAAAACAGAGTCCTCTTAATCATTTACTTCCCTGCTTGTCCCCCAAGAGAACTTGGTTCTGCCATGTTGATCCTCAAATGTAGCTAGCACTGAGATGGTCTTTTACAATTGGGGGATTGGCCGGGCACAGTGGCTCACGCCTGTAATCCCAGCACTTTGGGAGGCCAAGGTAGGCAGATCAGCTGAGATCAGATGTTCGAGACCAGCCTGGCCAATATGGTGAAACCCCATCTCTACTAAAAATATCAAAATTAGCCAGGCGTGGTGGCGGGTGCCTGTAATCCAAGCGACTCAGGAGGCTGAGTCAGGAGTACAGGAAGCCAAAGGGTGAGGAAGTCAGGTGACCTTAATGCAATCGTAAGAAAAGCAAGTCTGCATAATATTCAGACTCACTAGCCTAGCTCATCACACGACTGGAAATAACTTTAGATATTATATTTAAAATAAAATAATAAAAGCAGACTGTGGGCAGTCTGAAAGTGTGCTGGGACATTTTCATGACTATATAGTGCTCTTGTGATTTTTTTTAAGACACTCCCCTAAAATGAACACAAAGAACCTCATTTAAGGAGGTGGTGATGGACACCTATCTTCAAATGCATCCATTCAGGTGCCTGGGCCCTTTGTTCTGAAAACAGCAGCATGACTATAGACCTCTAGTTACATGGGAAGGTGGTGCTTGTCCCTGCCTTGCTCCAAATGAAAATGCTCACACATGTTTATCAAATTCGCCTACTTGAAGAAGGGAGGGGATCCTTCAAGGCCCTGGAGGGGCAAGTGGAGGGCAGGGAGCCCCCTGCTCTGTTCTGATCTCTGCTCTGCTTTGCATTTGCTGGGAAGCCCTGAACAAGTCATTTCATCTTTGGGGGCCTCCAAGTAACGGGGTGGGTGAAGATGCTATCTAAAGTCCCTTCTCACTAGGGCACTTTCTGGTTCTAATCTGAATCAAGATCCTCCTAAACTGAAAGGTCAGTGAGCAACACTTTCCACACCACAGACACTCATGGATTCCACTTGCTGCAAGCCCCAGGGGCAGCTCTACCCCATTTTCCTTCCAGCCATCCTCTCCTCACTCTGGGCTCCCACATAACCCTGCCCCGGCACCCAGCATCCTCCTGACACCCAGAGACCCCAACAGGACCCCCACCAGGAAACAAATAAGCAAAGACTGTTTGGCCATTAGAAATAGGAACCAACCCAACAGTTATTCCCTCCACTAGACCAAAATAATGTCTATTCATCTTTTGGTTTTGTTTGTTCTCTCTTATTTTTTTAATTAGAGACAGGGTATCCCTACCTTTCCTAGGCTGGTCTTGAACTCCTGGACTCAAGTGATCCTCCTACCTCAGTCTCCCAAAGTGCTGGGATTACAGACCTCATCATTTGTTTCCAATAAATCTCACCTGTGTGAATTTGTCAGCTGACTAAGAAGGTTACTATTTGCTTCGTATCTCTGAGTGTGCAAAGTAGTTACTACTTCCTTCTATTCTTTCAGGAGTCCTCTGAAATTGCTTATTAAGATCCCTATTTAATAGGAGACACCTGAAGTCCAGGGAGACCAGGAAGGTTACACTAGGTGACAGTGGAGAGTTGAACCCAGAACTCTTAGCGTCAGACCCTGCTTCATTCCAGAGTGCAAGGTTTCAGCGACATCCATCTATCAGTGTCTAATGATTGTTGTTCACTAGAGCTTTAAGTGGATGCCCCTAGTTCAGGGCCACAATGGGCTTACCTGTTCCGCTTCTAGGGAAACTGGCGCAGGGGGCAGTCTCTTTGATGCCAGTCTGTCACCACCACTCCCAGTTCCCTTCCGCATTGCACTTTAGCCTAGACTCAACCCTGCCAATAGTAATGAGAACTTCACTTTGGGGCGTAAATGTTTCGGTAGGGCTGGGCACGGTGGCTCATGTCTGTAATCCCAGCACTTTGGGAGGCTGAGGCAGGCAGATCATGAGGTCAGGAGTTTCAGACCAGCCTGGCCAACATGGTGAAACCCCATCTCTACTAAAAACATAAAAATTAGCTGGGCGTGGTGACAAGCGCCTGTAATCCCAGCTACTCGGGAGGCTGAGGCAGGAGTATCATTTGAACCTGGGAGGCAAAGTTTGCAGTAAGCTGAGATTGCGCCACTGCACTCTAGCCTGGGTGACAGGGTAAGACTCCATCTCAAAAAAAAAAAAAAAAGAAAAAGAAAAAGAAAAAAGGTTTTAGAAAAAGAGAGATCAGTGCTTCTTTTTGGAAGACACGGACTGAGACTTTGGCTCTTTGGATAGATCCTTTACCACTTCTGCACATGCTGACAAATGAGGCCTGAGAGCTTCCTGTGCACAAGAGGCCAGCCACAGAGAGAGCGTTGACCAGGCTCTTCTCAGATGCCATCTAGCAAGACCAGGCTTGGGGAGAGAGGAAGAAGTCACAAACCAGCCAGAGAAGAAAAAATGCCTTTGTTACATCATAAAACTGCAGACGGGGTCTGAGCTCTCGGAGCCCCTGTCTCTGATGGACCCATCAAGGATGCCCAAGACAGGAAGCCTCAGCCTTAAACACCCACAGACCCGGAACATCCCAGAACCCACTCACAACAGTGCAAACCAAGGAAGACGTCTATCGCCACCTCTCTCCTCTTTCTCTGTCCCCCCACAACCTGGGAGAAGACGGAGCAGAAACGATGGTCATCAGATGTGGGAAGAGAGGACTGAGCATGGGAGGGTGGGAAATGTGAAGACGCTGACCATGTGCCTTCCCCACCGTAAGCCGCAGCACTGCCCACTTGAACTAGACGAGAAGACAGGGTCAACTTCAAATGGGTTTTCGATGATTCATGGCACTGCACATTTAAGTTGCATGAGCCTTGCGGGAGCAACTGAAGGACATGTCTAATGTCACCAGAAAAGTCATGGGACCTCTGGGGTTTCCGTCAAAGTTTGGAAGAATGAGCCCCACAGAGCAGGTCTGAGTGGACACTGGGTGCAAATAATCAAGATGCTGGTTTGGTTTGGTTTTGCCCTGAGAATTTTGCTTGTTTACAGACAAGCCCTAGAGCCACAGTGATGTTGCTGTTGGTGCCACAGCTACGTGGGAGATTCCTTGCACACAGGGGACCATGCTCTCTACCACCATGCTTATTACCCTAGCAGGCACTCCGCCATCATGCGCATTTGTTGAGCGGGTGAACAGGATGTGGGTGAGCACAATCCTCTCTACAATCCTCTGTCTGTGTGGGGCCTGGCGCACGAGAAGGCTGGTGAAAAGTGCTTCGTCCTACAGGCTCTATGGGATTAACTGGACTTGGGTATCAGGGACTCTCTCCTGAAGAATTTTAGACAGAGGCAGACACCAATTGGCCAAGAGAAACTGCATTTGGTAAAGACCAGAAGGCAGACAAAGGGATGGGCAGCAGAAGACAGGAGGGAGGGGCGGTCACAGCAGCAGAGACACAGGGTCGCCCTGCCACCCCAGTGTGGTCGACTCAAGGAGGGCTAAGACCAGCAACTTCTGGTAAGTTGCCCTCACTTCCCGGAGTTACTGAGGGGTCCCCAAGGCGCTGGGAGTCTTGCAGGCAGCCCTCCAATCAGTCCTGTGTTGTTCCTCTCTCTGACTCAGGGAACCAGCGTGATGGGGAGCAGCCCCCAGCCAACAGCAGGACTGGCTGCTCTTCTGTGATTCTGGGCAAGATATGTAACCTTTCCAAACCTCAGTGTCCTTACAAGTGTCCAAACAAGCCCCCATTTCCTTGTTTCTCCCTGTGTCCTATGTAAGTCCTGAGCCCAAAGAGACTGAGTGTGTCCCTGGGGCATGTGTGTGCCAGCGTGTGTGTATATCAGAACAAGACACCACACTGCTGTGAGCACCAGGCCGGCTGACTCATGTTCCCTATGTGCCTGATGTCTGCTCCTGCTCTAGAACTTTCACTCATTCTCTCCTGCCAGCCTAAAAGGGCCAGCACATCTCATAAACAACCCCAAAGCCGACCCACCCCCGGGCCCAGCCACAGTGCCAGCCTCCTGCACAAGGCCTTTGCTGACCACACCAGCTGATGCTGCCCAACAATGCCCCTCACCTCTACCTGTCCTTTAAAATAACCGTAGTCACAAGCTGGGCCAAATTCCCAGAGCCCAGAGATGTTTGGAAATGAAGTAGGTGCCACCAACGTTGTTTCTGTGCAGCTCCCAACTCATTGTCTGTGAAGGACCCCCAGAGGTTGGCAGCAACTCCCACAGGGGTCATCTGAGAGTCACAGTGACCACAGTGATCAATGATGCCTCACCATGAGGAGAAGAAGGAAATGCCCAGCCAGGGAACCTGCTTTCTGCCCCCAGCCTTCTGCCTTCCATGTCATTCTTCACTCTACTGCGGATGAAGATTTGACTATAAAATATGCTGTTGAAATGCATCAACTGCGCTACTCCCAGATGGCAGGAGGAGAGTTCCGTTTTTCTTCTGGAAAACTCTTGCAACGACCTGGTACTGGGTGAGGTGCTTTATGTATATTATCTCATTTAAACCCCAGCAGCAATCTCTGAGGATGGCATCATTGTCCCCATTTTATCAGTAAGGACACTGAGGTTTGGAAAGGTTACATATCTTGCCCAGAATCACAGAGAAGAGCTGGAACTAGAACCGCAGCCTGTCTGATAGCGAAGCTCATGCCCTCTATCGCCGTAAGGTGGGGAGGAGCAAGGGGATTCTGGAGTCAGACTGCTCAGGTCACACCCAGCTTCACCCCCGATGTGGTACATAACCTTGGACAAGTCACTTAAACACTCTGAGCCTCAGTCTCCTCCTTTCTAAAATGAGGACAAAAAATAAAATGAGGAAAGTAATAGCGCTGGCCTCGCTGGCCGTAAGAGAAGTGAGTAGCATCATCTGTGTGAAGCACATGGAAGTACCTAATGTAGAATAGGTACCCGCTAATACGTCAGCATTGCTATTTTACCTATTTTACTGATGGAGCCCAACGTAAATCATTTAGAGACCTCCTTCATAGGAAAAAT